ATCATCACCACCACCACCACCATCATCACCGCCGATGTCACCACCGTCATTGTCATCCATCACAACCATCACCGTCTCTTACCATCACTACTGCTATCTACCATCGCTTACCTTCACTATAAATCGATGTTTAAATTTCTTTATCTCTTCTCTATTTTGTGATTTAATTTTGGATATAAATACAAATATATTTATTGTTTACTATTTTTTATTACTCTGTACCTTCAAGCACATACAATAACTAATTATAAAATAAGGACCTAAAAAAATACAAAATTTGATTCTCTCTCATCTTTTTTAAATTTTACACGCTCTCACCAACTTAACGTCACTAACTTAAAGGATCACACCCGCTCTCTTCATTTATTGTCAATCCAATCACTCTCCATAATTAAGCCACATATAAATACATTTACATAATCAAATCCTGCCCCCTCTCTCTCCCTCTCTCTCTCTCTCTATATATATATATTTTGTCTCATTGTAAGTTCAAAATGCATTGAAAAAAAGAATAGCCATAAAAGTATTTGATTAAAAAAATAGTATAGCCATAAAATAGCACATATATTTATAATGAGTTTGTAAACGCCCCACTTAAAGTTTTTGCTCAAGCCCCAAATTCCATTGAGCCGACCCTGGTTTTAGGCAGGGTAAATGTACAGTAAATTAAAGGGTAACACTCCCTTAACTTTTGCATAATACCATGAGTAGGCATTTTGGTCTTTTCATCTGACTCAAATATTTGTTACAAAGAAAGCCAGTTGGTTTCATACCTTTAAAGCTAGTTTTTGTTCATTAGCATCTGTAACAGAGGAAAGAGAAACCATCATTAAAAGCACAAAGCCAAAGAAGGGAGAATATAACAGAGAATCACCAGGAATACAAGAAGGGTTCTGTGGAAGCATCAATGGAAACACAGATGCAGATACCGGAGCAGCAACAATCACAGATGCTGCGCATGAAGAAATCAGGAATTATTAGTTTCAGTGACAGCCCAATGAATGAAGACAAGGAGGAGGAGATGACAAAGTCAGCTCTTTCTGTGTTTCGGGCTAAGGAAGAAGAGATCGAGAGGAAGAAGATGGAAGTCAGGGACAAGGTTCAGGCTCAGTTGGGCCGCGTGGAAGAAGAAACCAAGAAGTTGGCTGAGATTCGCGAGGTAAAGTTGAACAATATAAATGTGTTGTGTATAAGTTCAATAAATGTTGGAATGACACGACCCACAAGTTAAAAACACAGCATGGCTTTTGACAACCTTAACCATCAGTACAAATTGGAAGTTCTTTCTTTTCTATAATCACTCGACAAACTATCAGATCATTAATGTTGGAACAATGAAAGATCACTTTTGGATATGTCTTGCTTTAACATACACAACAATTGCACATAATAAGATTGAATATAAAATTGTTCATTATGTGTATATATAATTTACACTTCTTATTGTGTGTGATTGAATTTTATTAGGAGCTTGAAGCTCTTGCAGATCCAATGAGGAAGGAAGTTTCAATTGTACGAAAGAAGATCGATGTGGTCAATCGAGAGTTAAAGCCATTGGGACAGACCTGCCAGAAGAAGGTGAAACAGTATAAAAACTTTGGTGAACTTAACTTCGCTTGTAAGAAATTTGTTTGATCCTAATGTTTGTTTATTTGAATAGGAAAAGGAATACAAAGAAGCCCTTGAAGCTTTGAATGAGAAGAACAAGGAAAAAACTCAACTGCTAACCAGATTGATGGAGGTAACTTTAGTGATCTTTTGGTCCAACTTAAAACTCATCCACCATATATATATGTACATGTGTGTGTGTGTATATTTGATTCCAGTTTTGCTTATGTTGTTCTTAATATGTATGATTAATTGGCCAGTTGGTGAGCGAAAGTGAGAAAGTAAGGATGAAGAAGCTGGAGGAGCTGAGCAAGAACATAGATTCCCTTGTCTAAAATGATACCATTTGTCTTAGGCACTGTTATTAGTATCTTTCTCTTGAATTGTGTTAAAGTTTGTGGTTTACATTTGTGTAATTAACTAAATACCTTTGGCGTAGTAATGTTGTTACTTATGACCTGGACGTCACCGGATAAAATCCCGGGAATAGTACACATAACATATGACATTTCCAAACTTTGCAGAGATGGACGTCTTTTTTTCTTTTATTATTTTTTTTCTTTCAAATTTGTGTTTGTCAGTGGCTTTTCATGGAGGTTCTATGGTTTAGGAATGATAGGGCCTCCAACCAGGATTGTTGGTTAACACTCTTGTAATTCTAATATTCAAATGGAAGATATTCCTTCTTAACATCACAATGCTCTTGCTTTCTAGTTGTACCAGCATCAAAACCACCAACTTGAATCTTCAAATTGAGAGGCCACCTGTATGATAAGATCAGTTAAAGGTTTCATATATTCTTCTCTTTACTCTTTTGTGAAACTTAATTTAGGGACTCAATTTATCGTGACCGATGGATTGAAGGTGGGTTCCCGTATTCAATGAAGTCCACTAACAAACCAATGATTTCAATTCATTAAGTCCTACAAATAGGTACAAGTAGCATTATTCTTTTATTTATTGGGAAATACTTCTCAGGACATCTTTGTTAATTTTTCAGTTGAAGAGAAAATCTTTCACTTAAATAAGTCTTCTGGATGTCCTCTATTAAGTTCCTATTTGCACCCCCTCCAACGTAAAACCTTTGGATCTTTATTGAGAAATTTCATAAGCCCTATCTATGGAGCACAGTGCTGAGCTAATAACAAAAACTATGGGTTTTTGGGAAAATGGATGGGTATTTATTTTCTTGCTTTTCTTTTAGAGAACGGTTTGTAGTCTTATTTATGACAATGACTTTCGTTGTTTTTAGTTTTGTATGTGAACTTAAGACTTTAAAGTGAAATCGCTTAATTTTTACGTGATCTATGTTCTTTCTATTTGATTTTGTAATCTGTTTATAATCTCGTGCGTAACATTAAAGATATATAAGGCCGGGGAATTAAGTCATGGAAAAATACATAACTTATTATGTATGTTACCTCTAATACCAACTCTGAAATAAACAGACATCCTTATTGACAAGACCCTTCAACAACAGGATGAGAGAATTTACAAACAGACGAAGCATTCCATGTTATTATTAGCTTTGAGGGAATAGTACAGTTAATGTACTGTTTATTGTTCATTTTCAAGGATTACTGATTAATAGTAGAATTGAAATGTATATGGTCTTCGGTAGTTGCTTTCTATTCTGCGATTTATGACTTTGTCACATAAAAAACCGTTCCATTCCCCTCTAATCTGATCGAAAAGAATGATTCAACTTGTCTTGCATCAGAAATTTTGAAACTTTCCGAATCCATCATTTTAAGTAGTCTCACACATGGGAGTGTTCTCTGTCGCCTCATAATTTGTTAGTTTTCAAAAGTTTTTTTTACTACATATAGATGCTCGTAGAAAGGCTAATGCCAGTTCGATGGGAAACAGCGATCGAAGAAATGACAGTTGGTTTACCAATGCCCCTATTTGCATCTGCCGATCTATCACTTTGCTTTATGGCATATGTTCCTTAGCTTGCATGCCGACATAGAAAAAGAAAAATATAAAGGCTAAACCTCCCAATACCTGAAATTATCTTGGGGAAAAATATTATGTTTCTTTGGTAAATATATTTTGCAATTAAGTCTCATACTTTCGTGGTAATTTTTTAAATTTTATTGGAGAAGTTAATAAAAGATTGGGGTGCAATTTGGGAGGGTTGAGAAGTCAATCTTAGTCTAATCTTAGGGATATAATCTTTAATTCTAATCCTACCTCAACCCGAGTACTGTCCCGAGCTTAATTTGGACAGGCTCGAGTTGGCTTGAGTTACTTAATTCGGGTTGATTTTTTGAAGTGTAGAATTNCTGAGAGGCCACCTGTATGATAAGATCAGTTAAAGGTTTCATATATTCTTCTCTTCACTCTTTTGTGAAACTTAATTTAGGGACTCAATTTATCGTGACCGATGGATTGAAGGTGGGTTCCCGTATTCAATGAAGTCCACTAACAAACCAATGATTTCAATTCATTAAGTCCTACAAATAGGTACAAGTAGCATTATTCTTTTATTTATTGGGAAATACTTCTCAGGACATCTTTGTTAATTTTTCAGTTGAAGAGAAAATCTTTCACTTAAATAAGTCTTCTGGATGTCCTCTATTAAGTTCCTATTTGCACCCCCTCCAACGTAAAACCTTTGGATCTTTATTGAGAAATTTCATAAGCCCTATCTATGGAGCACAGTGCTGAGCTAATAACAAAAACTATGGGTTTTTGGGAAAATGGATGGGTATTTATTTTCTTGCTTTTCTTTTAGAGAACGGTTTGTAGTCTTATTTATGACAATGACTTTCGTTGTTTTTAGTTTTGTATGTGAACTTAAGACTTTAAAGTGAAATCGCTTAATTTTTACGTGATCTATGTTCTTTCTATTTGATTTTGTAATCTGTTTATAATCTCGTGCGTAACATTAAAGATATATAAGGCCGGGGAATTAAGTCATGGAAAAATACATAACTTATTATGTATGTTACCTCTAATACCAACTCTGAAATAAACAGACATCCTTATTGACAAGACCCTTCAACAACAGGATGAGAGAATTTACAAACAGACGAAGCATTCCATGTTATTATTAGCTTTGAGGGAATAGTACAGTTAATGTACTGTTTATTGTTCATTTTCAAGGATTACTGATTAATAGTAGAATTGAAATGTATATGGTCTTCGGTAGTTGCTTTCTATTCTGCGATTTATGACTTTGTCACATAAAAAACCGTTCCATTCCCCTCTAATCTGATTGAAAAGAATGATTCAACTTGTCTTGCATCAGAAATTTTGAAACTTTCCGAATCCATCATTTTAAGTGGTCTCACACATGGGAGTGAGTTCTCTGTCGCCTCATAATTTGTTAGTTTTCAAAAGTTTTTTTTACTACATATAGATGCTCGTAGAAAGGCTAATGCCAGTTCGATGGGAAACAGCGATCGAAGAAATGACCGTTGGTTTACCAATGCCCCTATTTGCATCTGCCGATCTATCACTTTGCTTTATGGCATATGTTCCTTAGCTTGCATGCCGACATAGAAAAAGAAAAATATAAAGGCTAAACCTCCCAATACCTGAAATTATCTTGGGGAAAAATATTATGTTTCTTTGGTAAATATATTTTGCGATTAAGTCTCATACTTTCGTGGTAATTTTTTAAATTTTATTGGAGAAGTTAATAAAAGATTGGGGTGCAATTTGGGAGGGTTGAGAAGTCAATCTTAGTCTAATCCTAGGGATATAATCTTCAATTCTAATCCTACCTCAACCCGAGTACTGTCCCGAGCTTAATTTGGACAGGCTCGAGTTGGCTTGAGTTACTTAATTCGGGTTGATTTTTTGAAGTGTAGAATTAATTTTTTCGAGTGTAAATCTAATTTTTTTCAAGTGATCTGAGATGAAGGATGAGATGCAGATAAATAGAGAGTGAGGAGTGATGAGTAAAAGAGGGAGACTGAGAGTCTAAAACGACTCAGATGAGTGACAATTGAAAGAGGGAGGAGTGAAAAGTGAGAGAGGGATCTCAGGTTGATGGAGGCACAGGGGTGAAGACTTGAAGTTAAGTGAAAGTTTAAACTGTAAAGAGTGAAGATAAATACTTGTTGGAAAATATTGGATACAAATAAAGTGAACGGCAGGGTGAGACGCGGACTAGGTCGCTCTCTTAAGACGATTCGTGCCCCTTTATAAAAGAATCACAGCGCAGAAGATAGTAACACGTCATCCCCAGGATACAACAATCCAGCCTATTGGTTGTTACTTCACTCAGATCTGCACAATAGAATAAACTAGAAGCTTTATACACACCTTTGAATATTGCCTAGAAACTTATATTGTAAGAAGATAGTTGATATGATATTGTATATCTCTATACTGAAAATACATACATATATATACAAATAATATATGTGTTTAATAGGCTGTAATTACTTCTATATTTAATTGTATAATAACTAATAAAATATGGCTGTTGGAATATTAGCCGTTGGAGGTTTTTGGAATTCAACAACTGAAATTTTAATATAGAAGTAATGACAGAAAATAATTAAACAAAATATTAAAAAATGGGTTTAATACTAGTCCCACTCCTACGCACTTGAGAGTCTCAAGATCTTTCTTCAATTTAAAGGCTAGATAACACTAGTATATATATATACTCAAGTACTTTTGGATATTTAGTCGATATGAGATTAAGTTCTCACACACAAAAAACACTCTTTTAGTTACAATATTCTAACAATACCAACTCTAGTTAAATATATTTATATATTTATGTATATTCGGGTTCAATCCGATTTAATAATTGAGTTCAATCCGATTTTAATATTCGAGTTGAACCCGACAACCTGAAGTCTCAACCCGAGACTTGCTCAAATTCAATTCGAGTTGAAATTTTTATGCCTAAACCCAACCCTAGTATTAAAAATTATAACGTAAACTCTGTTTTTTTCAAGTTAAACTCAGGTTGAATTCGAGTTGAACCGCCCAAATTAAACTCTTAATCAAAGGAGGACTTTAAGCCAGAGGGAAAACAAATGATTGGTTTCCCCTGTAAATTTTCTAGTAGATTGATGTATATGTCAAATGAGATACCACATTCTATTGATAATAATCACCAAGGACACAATCATTTTCCTTACATTTGCAAATTGAAATACAACTGATTCACCTTAGGTTTGGTCCCCCTCCAGCATGTAGCTTCCATCAACTTTGCTGAAACTTTCAGCTAAACGTGAATTTGCAATATACACAAAAGTCAGATATTTAAGTTCAGAATTAGTCTCTTCAAGAGGAGGTGAAGTTGTCTACCACTGACCCATCTCAAATCCTATAATACCTGAATTTTTTGTATATTAGATATTAT